TGGAATTTAATTGGCGGCTATCAGAGAGTTAGATTGGGTAGTATTAAAAAGCATTTACAAGTTTTTCAAAAAGATAAATAGAATTATTTAATATAAGACACAGAGAAGTTAAAAAAGGATTTAGATAAGCCTGTGTCATATAACCCTAGGGTTGAAGGCACACAGTTGGAAACATCCGACATCGTCCAACCGGAAGGAAAAAAAAAAAAAAAAATATAACCTGTGAAAGTTCTAAATGATAGTTTAATGTTGGTCTTTAGCCATCGAGTGAGTGGGACGTCTTTTGTCCTCACATGAATTTTTGTGTTGCGTCATGCAATTTGTTAAGGATAAAGAGAAAGCTAAACGTGGATAAAGAGAAAGTTGAACTAGAATATCACAGAATATAGAGAAACTTATAAAGGATTTAGATAAACCTGTGTTATATAATCCTAGGGTTGAAGACACATAGTCGGAATTAATCCGACATCCTCCAACCGGAGGAAAAGAGAAAAAAAAAATAAATGATAGTTTTAAACATGCCAGGACCAAAAGAATTAAAATTTGATTTTTCTTTGAGGTAATCATTTTTCTTTTCTGTTTAATATGTTATATATATTTTATAAATTTACATAATGTATAAAATATATTATTATTATTATTCCTCGACATTTGAGAGCATCGATGTTAGATTTTCATGATTATCAGCCACAATTTAATAAGTTTAATTTTTTAAGTAAGTATAACTTTTCATTCTTTTAATTATATCCATTTTATAATTTGCTGATTTCATTTGCGTATATTTAAAAATAAAATAAGTCGTCTAATAAAAATAAATTTCCAATTTATTTCAGAAAGCGTAGGCGTTGTCCAGGGAAGATTTGAATACCATCTTCTTCAAATTAAAGTAAAAGAATGAAAAGAAAAAATATAATACAATTGTCTTTATCTTCGTCGTTTCAGGGCATCGATGTTAGATCTTTGTGATTATCATCCACAATTCAATATAAGTATAATTTTTCATTCTTTTAATTATAGCTGTTTTATAATTTACTATTAATTTAATTTGATTTGTGTAAATTAAAAAACAAATCATCTAATAGAAATAAATTTCCAATCTCTGTTTCAGAAAACGGAAGCGAAGTAACCTAAAAATTTGAATAATCCTATCTTTTACAAATTAAATGAGAGAAGAACAGGAATGAAAAGAAAAAGTGCAAACATTTCTCATGTCGGAGAAAATTAATTAGTATGAATATTTTATTTTTTTTTGCTTTTGTCAAACTTTAAACATATATCTATTTAATGTATTGTTATGTATTTATATATCTGTCATATTATATATTGTTTATATCTATCTTATTAATGTTGTTTATATATCTATTTTTTAATAAAATTTATTTATTTTTTAATAAATCTATTATTAATATATCTATTAATATATCTATTTTTAATAAATCTTGCACGTGTCAAGAAAAATGTAATATTATATTTTGAAAATTTATATACACTACTTACAATTACATATTACATTTTATAATAATTTTTATAACATATTATCTTTCTTCCATAAAACAATTGTACACTGTTAATATTATTAATAACAGCATTATATACAAAATAGACACCGCATATATTATAAATTTAATGAACACATTATATATTATACACGCTCTTAGCAACGAATAAACATTCGCAGTTACAAATCAATAACGTAGCGAAAACATCCTTTCTTTTTCGATGTCTTCATCGAATGAAGTTTCACAGTGTCATCTCTTTCAGTAAAATTCTGAAAGAAGTTAAGAGAGAATTGTCAAAGGAGAGATAAGAAAATCTGCCTCTATTACAAGGAAAAAAGATCATTAATAAAATTTAAAATATTTATACATATTTGTTAACATTTATTTTATAATACTGATTCATATATGTGCATGTTGGCTGTGCTGCAGAACACGCTATCGACATTATTAAGTCATAATATCATACTATCTTTAATTTATTATAATGAGCAATAAAAATAAAATAATGTGAATACTAATAGTGTGTGTTGTTGCAACTGCAATCGAACAACATTTTTAATAAACAAAGAGTGATTCCATTTGACGTTAACAAATTTTTTTCTTTTTTTACTCACTAAATATTTAATGTTGAAAAATAAACGATGTTCACAAATATAAATGCTAAACGAATTATATTCCAGAAAGATAGTAACAATTTTAACTTTTTTAATCTTTTTTATCTTATAATATTTTATCTTATAATATTTTATCTTATAATATTTTATCTTATAATATTTTATAATATAATAATAAAATTCATTCTTATAATACTATAATTTCTTAATTTATGGCAATATCTGTTTATTCACGATATGATTTATGGATTTATTATATTGATATTTATAAGATTGAAACATTTAATATACATGTTAAAAACATAGATAGCACAATAAGATATAGACTTACTATTTTACTTTAAATATATCATTGAACGAACAAGGGCATTTCGATTGGTCCAACGTGAAAGTTTTGGATGTTGAAAGGAATTATAACAAACGATTAATTCTTGAAATGCCGCATATCAAACAACAAACTAATGAAATCAATTTGCAAATAGACACAGAATTTCTGAGCCATACGTACATCCCTGTTATAAACAATATATAAATATGTGACCGTATCTCTCTTCACAACATTCTTGACTTTCTCACCACTTACCATCTTCGTCTTTACATTTTAATTTTTAACACGAAACAGTTAAGACGTCTTTTATTTTATTTTCGTTAACCGCATTAAACTTATTTATTGTACAACTTTTATTTTCGACCATGCTTTTGCAATATTCACTATTTATTATCTGTGTGCGTTTTATTGGGATAATTGACGATATCATCGAGGTGAGTCTCTAATGGTTCCTCGTCCACCTTATTGTTTGACACTTTTGTTTGAAAATTCTATTGTTTTGAATGCAACTTAAATTATCCAAATGATCTTATCGTACAGTTCTCCTACATCAGCTGTGGAACTATTTTGGACGGATGCTCTCGATGTGTTGCATTATCGCTTTTATCGGTGCGAATCTGTTAAATTTTTGACCAACACGCCGTATGTAACTCAAAGTTGAAGACAATATCTACTGAAGATAGTAGGTATACTAGGCCAGTTCTAACTCAGAAGCGTTGAGGGGGGTGCGGGTGTGCGGGAGGAACGGACGGCGCGGGGAAGAGGGGAGGGGGAAGTCCGAGGCGGCGATCCTTTGAACTGAGCCGCGAGGGGGGGATAGATAAGATAGTAGGATTCGGTGAAGGGGGATATAAACAAATAGATAAACAAATAGATAAACAAGAAGATAATATATAGATAAATAAATAGAAAATTGTAGACTCGAAGGACATGACGT